AGTCCCAGCAGAGGCTTATGGTCAGTGAAGACCGTGAAATGCCTGCCATATAGAAAGTCGTGGAATTTTTTAATTCCAGCAACAACAGCCAGAGCCTCCCTGTCTATCTGAGCGTAGTTGCGTTCAGCAGAAGACAGTGTTCTGGAGTAGTATGCAATAGGAACCTGAGTTCCATCAGACCTGAGGTGACTCAGGACAGCTCCAACCCCGTAGGGGGACGCATCACAAGCGATGCACACAGGAAGAGACCCGTTGAAATGTGCAAGAACACTGTTAGAAGTGAGCAAGGCCTTGACTTCTTTAAAGCAAGCCTCATGCGCTTGTGACCACTGCCACACAGCTTGTTTGTCTAGTAGCCTGTGAAGAGGCTCAGCTACACTAGCTTTATGTGGAAGAAAAGAATTGTAGAAATTCAGGAGGCCTAGGAAGGCCTGAAGTTCGGCCTTGGACTTTGGCCTGGGTGCTTCTAAAATAGCAGTTAGTTTGGATTCAGCAGGATGAATCCCAGCAGCATCAATTTTGAATCCCAGAAATTCAGTAGAAGGCACCCCAATCTTGCATTTGTCTTTTTTGAGCTTGAGGCCTGATTTCCTGAATCTTAACAGGACAGCCCTAAGCCTCTCAGCTAGAATGTGTGTGGAATCTCCTGCAATCAAGACATCATCAAAGTAGGGGCAAACCCCTGGTATACCTCGTAGTGTGTTTTCCATCACGCTTTGGAAAATCCCAGGAGCGACATTCACTCCAAACTGTAGCCTTTTTACCTTAAAGGCTCCCCTGTGGGTCACAATAGTCTGAGCTATGGCAGCATCATCATCAACAGGCAGCTGTTGATATGCTTGAGCCAGGTCAAGCTTTGCAAAAACACGCCCCCCCTTGAGGGAGGCCAGGATGTGGCTGACCACAGGAACAGGGTAGGCATGTTGCTGCAATGCCTTATTAAGTGTGCATTTGTAATCAGCACAAATGCGAATGTCCCCATTTGCCTTTAGAGGCGTGACAATGGGGGTCTCCCAAGGGCTGGAATCAACAGGTTCTAGAACTCCCTGTTGGATTAGTTTGTCTAACTCAGTGTCAATCTTACTCTTTAAAGCAAAAGGGACCCTTCTTGCTTTAATTCTAATGGGAGTGACAGTGGGGTCTAGCTTTAAGGACACAGGTGGTCCTTTGAATGTGCCCAGCTGGGGGCTGAAAACATCTGCAAATTCTTTGCAGACTTCCTGTAGGTCGAGTGTTTGTAAACTGTTGAGTCCTGTGACGTGTATCCCCAGGGCCTCAAACCAATCGAGTCCTATGAGACTCGTTCGTTCACCCCCTACTACTAATAAGTCTAGTGGACCTTCAAAACTCTTGTATTGCACATTAAGGGTGGCCTCCCCCTTAATACACACTCTTGAGTTTTGAAAATCTGTCAATACAATATCAGAAGGCCTTAACTTGGCCTTAGTCCCACTACTGGAACAGATCTTCCTAAATGTATGCAAGGAAATGATGGAAAGGGCAGACCCTGTGTCTAGTTCCATAGATAATGGAACCCCTTGTAGCTTCACTTTGAGTGACAGCTTTTTCTTAATGGGCTTGTGTGTGCCTGTCCTACAGATGCTTCTTCGCGAAGCGCAAAAACCTACCTATTCTGGCTGGGGAATCTGGTACCTTTCAGGCGCAGTTCTTCCTGAGGTTGTACCTTTCGTCGGCCCAGACACACAGCTGCAATGTGTCCTTGTTTGCCGCATGCCCGGCAGGTAGCGGAGCGGAACTTGCAGTCGGTTCTCCTGTGGCGACCTCCACAGCCGATGCACTTGAGCGGAGCTGAAGAGCTTCCCTTCTGATTTTCTTCCTTCGCGGGGTGTAGACGGTCGACTTCCTCGTCCGGATCCTCCTCGGAGTTTCGTTGGACGTCTTCCTGGTGCACGGATGCACCCTCTGGACTGTTTTTGATCGGCCGCATGTTCTTGACAGCGCCGCCTGCTGCTTCTTCTGTGGTGACTTCCCTTAAGGCATCTTGGAAGGATAATTCTTCCTTAGCGAAAAGTCTCTGTTGTAGCTCTCGATGCCTTAAACCGCACACGAATCGGTCCCTCAGTCGTTCCTCGAGGTCCTTGAACTCGCAGTGCTTGGCGGCCTTCCGTAATGCGGCGATGAATTCCTTGGCTGACTCACCGGACCGTTGATCCCTCTGTTCGAAGGTGTGGCGCCATGCGATGACAGACACCTTGGGGTGGAAGTGCTCCTTCAGCAGCTTCTTCAGGTCTGCGTAGCTTACAGACTCTACTGGAGCAGGTGCTGCAAGGTTTTCTGCGATTTCGAAGGCGTCCTGGCCGCAAACGCAAAGCAGGGTGGCAGCCTTCAAGCTATCTTCCCTCACTTGGTTTGCCTTGAAGTAGTTCTCCATCCTGGATACGTAGGACTCCCACCGCTCTGGATGTGAGACGTCGAATTCCGAAAGCCTTCCGATTTTCGCCATCTTCAAATCTTCAGGAGACGGGTCTATCAGCCAGCCTACCCCCGAATGCGCACCGGATTGGCGGGCAGCTGCCGAGTCGACGCCGTTCCTTTCCGCCGCTCAGGAGTCCTTGGGTAAGCTTACACTTCTTCCTTTCCAGGTAGTGCAAGGCATCCCACCTTCGTCGCCAGTGTTGAGTCCGTGGCGGGAAAACAGACACGAGAAGCAGCTGGAGTTCTCAGGTTTCTTTATTCAGCGTTCAGCTTACAGGTAGATGGCTTCTGGCACGCCCAAACGCTTTGCAGCCTCTTATATAGGCAACTCCCGGGTAAAAGTGTTACTTTTCCCGTGCCAGCGCCCGCGCATGCGCACGGCGCTGGCGACAGCCTGTCTGGTCCCGGGCAGCTTTGCACCTGCCTGGGACTGCCTGCAAACGCCCGAGCCGTTTGCAAGGCTCGGGACATAACAGAAAGCTAATGCATTTAGCCTTTTCTTGGGGTCTCAGATGTAAACCACAAATGAAACTCAAAACTAGGAAGTTCTAGCAATGTCAAGGAGCTCAGTTTGCCAACATATCTCCCTACAGCAGTGGTTCTCAACCTGTGGGTCAGGACCCCATTTGGGGTCAAACGACCATTTCACGGGGGTCGCCAAACAAGGCTGTCAGCCATTTTTTCCCCTTTTCTTTGGCCACGCCCCTGGCACCCGGTGATGTATAAGTGTTTGGGAGTCACCACAATGTGGGGAACTGTATTATGGGGTCATGGCATTAGAAAGGTTGAGAACCACTGCCCTACAGAATAATCAGTGACCAGGTTGTTCATGGAAGTGGAAAACACAGACAATCAGCTCAATATACCAGTAGGAAGACAGAATAAGCACAGATAGAAATAGGCCATCAGACTGATAATGTGAGTTGGCAATGGTTTAATTGATTCTCATGTATTATATTAATTAAAAGGGGATTACTAAACATTTTTCAGTCTGACTGCAGGATAATGATCAAATTCTGCTGATAAAATCATGCACATGTCTTTAAAATGGACCCTTTAAAATTTTGTGGTATTAAAAATTGCAGCAATTTTGCAGCATTTTAGTTAAATGTAGATACCATAAAAGCATGTTTAATTTTAGTCACTGCTGTCAGCTCTTAGCCTTAGGCAGAACAATAAAAGATGAATCAAAGAAGGGTTTTATTCTGAAATGTGCCTTTTCTTTCTTTTACCCATCTATTCCTAGAAAGCCGGGGCTTTGGCACCTTATTTATCTGAAATAATTTGGATTTGTGTCGCTGTTCACAAGATTTTACATATTTTCCTGATTCTAACAATAACCCTTTCATAGAAGTCAGTCTGTAGCATTATTTTTCATATCTATCATTATTACAAAACAAACACATCCAGAAAAGTTGCAGATGCCTTTTTCAATACTGAGAAAAAAATCCCCAAATTTTGAGTTAAAAAGGACAGACATTGTGGAAATCAGCCTTGATTTGATCAACCTTTTAGCAAAAGAAAGACCCAAGAAGCAAGTTTCAGTTCCACAAAATAAATAATTTAAAAAGATGGGTAAAATCCATTGGAGGATCTGCAATTAGAAGTTGTAAAAATAAAGACTACTTCAGCTTACCTGTCTCTAGAATCATTAATAAGAATGGGATATCTACTGGCTTAGTATGCGTAGAAGAAAACAAAACAGCATCCACTGCCAAATTCATTTTGTTGCCCTAATTGCTTTAAAGGGTATATTTTTTGGCTCTATCGATTACCAGTCAATTCCAAGGAAAGATGTGTTTAATTAAGGAGGTGCCGAGGGCAGCAGTCTCTGGACTATGCATTCTCCAAATTGCCTTTTCTCTTTCTAATCCAAACAGCTGCCAATTGTGGTAGCTGCAGCCCTGCTTTCTGTAAACCAGAAGAGAAATTACAGCTATACCAAGAATTATAGTAGAAAGAAGCAAAAATGTCTCATGCTGAATCAGACGCAGAGCTGGTCCATGACACTTTGGAACCTCGGGCAAGGAACATTTCATGCCCAAAAAACCCACCCAAAATAAAAAAAAAAACAACAACCCTTGACTAGCTACGCAGATGAAATTTTCCACAATGTAGGCAAAGGAAAGAGCATTCAGCAGGAAGCGGAAGCTAACTAGGGCATGCATGATACATTTTGTATGTTACATCTTTCTACCCTGCTGCTTGTGATGGCACCTCAAGTTGATTGGAACCAGAACTTCAAAATAATCTCACCCTGGTAGTATTTTACAGAAATTAGCAGTAAAGCTCCAAAAGATTACACAGAGAATTGATTGGGGAATTTCTTCATGCAAGGCACATGACCTCCAAATGAAGAAACAAAGCATTTTTGGAATTCTGTAATGAATTGTCTGGTTCCAGGAATCACTGGGAGGAGGAAACAGTTCTGAGAAACAAATAACCCATGGTAGCAGCCATTTTTAACCAAGGAAAGTTTATGTGTTCTGCAATTCTGTCTTCTGCACTTTGCAACATCTGAAGCAATAGAGGGCAAAATTGCTTTATGGAGCAAAAATTGTTACCTGGCTTATAACGGTAGAAGACACAACCAGCATCCATCTTGTGCCAATTGCTCTAACCACAATCCCAGGATGTAGCAGTAGTTAGTGCTGAAAGAAGTAAAGGAGGCCCTTAAAAACATGGCTTTGTCAGCTAGCTTGAGGATAGCAGGACAGAGTGGAGTCTGTTGGGTGGTTATATAATAGTTAAAGGAATGCACTCACTATTTCAACCAAATCTAGAATACAAATGGTTGATAATTTTAAAAGCTAATAAAATAAAATAAAGTACACAAACTTAAAAAATAAAAAATACACATATAAAAACAAAAACTAAAAAAATCCTACAAAAGGGATAAAAATTAATATATGGCTAGCTATTATCGTAATATAAAGAACTCGGTTAACTAATCAAATACTCATTAAGGCTGGTTTGAGGCACAAGTCATCAACTGACCGATTTTGATTGCTGCTGTGAAAAGGATGACAAGGATGCTCCCTCGACTTGTTTTTCTGCCATTTTGCCATCTTCTGCCATTTTGCTTTTTCACTTTTTTCCTCCTTGGTTTTATTTTAATTTAAATTGATTGCTTTTAATGGTTTCTATACACGCTTGCTTATTTTTATGTATTCTGCCCAGAGCCACTAAGTAACTTGGGCGTCTACACAAATATGAGTAACTAAATAAAATAAGTCAAGATAACAATAAATCAATAAACCCTCCTGCGTGGGAAGCAGAAGGCTTCAGTTGCTAAATAGCAATTGAATGGAATGGATTTTGCTCTATCTTTCCACAAATTTGCTGATCATGTGATTGAAACTAATTACTGCCTTCCCCCCAGCATCATCCATATCTATGCTAAGTCGACTGAGAGCAGAACGAAGGAGAAATAAGGTTCTGTATCTATATTAATAAAGGATCGATCTTTCCCTGCCAGCTTGTGATTTAATGGTTGGCTACACAATGCAGGCTTTGTATGGAGTACAGCATCAGCTGGAAATGGAAGTTTCAACATCCTCTACTTATTGCCTAACCCAAGAATGTGTAATGCCAAATGCTATTATATCCCGCAGGGCATCCTTTGAGCAACTTCTTCATAATAAGATTCCTGAATAGAGTGCACCATAACCAAGAATTAAAATCCCATGGAAGCAAATAAGCACTATTCTCAGGAAATGAGCAAGTAGACATCACACTTGGCTGCGGTCTATTGAAAAGTCTTGGAGCTAATATAATTTCCTCTTTAGACCCCAGATGCCAAGTGCTAGAAATTGGCAAGACTAAATGTTTGATAGGATAAATCTGCAACATTGTAGGAGCTTTCCATTGATCTCCAATGAATGGTTTGGGGTGAATGCTTTGATGATTTTGCCATTGAAATCAGTGAATGGACCTGCTCCAGGGCTAGTGATATAGCTTAATTGAACCTTTTGTATACTTGGATGAATTGCTCCTAGGAATCTGGAAATGTTCTTTATTGTTACTATTGGATGGTTATGTTTACAACCAGGTGAGCCTTTGTGTACTTTTTCAAGACTGGCATAGTAGCCAACACAATGGCAAGACCTAGGATCCAAGAATCATTCCAGTGAAATTACTGTTTTGTTCTTTCTCCCAAGGCTGATTAACAAAAACATGTAGGTTAGTTCATCTGGGGCTTCAATTTAAATAACCTTATCTAGAAATAACTCCTCATTTTCTGCCTTCATTTTGGACCATACTGACAGTGGCTCCCCTTTTGTGAGCACTATTATTTCAGAATTCATAGAATAGAGCCTCCAATTTCAAGAAAGCCAAAAACTAAGAAACCAGAACAGATTTTGAGGATTCTTGGGAAGAGATGATAGATGAAAATTTCTTATCTTTCATATAGTGTTGTTGTATCCATGCTGTTAAAGATTCTTCTGGCTATTTATTCAACTTTTGGGGCTAGTTGTATTTCTAATGTCTTCTTACCTTTCAAGTGATTTTGTTTGTTCAAAAGCTGCTTTGCCCAATCTCATAGGACAGTTACTTTCATAATCTCATACTGGACTTTTTGCGATCAACCTCACCAGACCACCAGAGAAAGAATTTCACAGAAACAACAACAACCACCACCTCATATCTCTTTTCTTCAACAAAGATAGGAGATAGGATAGGAAATAATATTTACCTCTCTTTATGGCCCCTGGTTACAAACTGGTTGCCTGAATCATACCTTCCCAAATTGTTCATGCAGGGGATTGCAAGACTGTAGAAGCCTCTTGAGAAGACTGACTTTACATCTGAGATATGCACTGGTTATGCGAAAGTATTAGCATGTCATTTTTGCACTCCTGAAGGTTTCAGAAAGAGGGAGGGAGGGAAAGCTAATCTTTTGCTTTTCACAAGTCAAACAAGTTATATAGGCACTGAGGGAGAGTAAACTGTTTGTTCCTTCTCTTCCTCCCTCCCTCTTTGCTCAAACATTTGCCTCAGGACTAGTCACCAACAAGTATTACTCTGTTAGTTATGATGCATACTTTATAATTCTATTGGATTAATGATAAAGCAATAGTTTTTTTTAAAAGTAATATTTGGACAGAGTGTAAATAGAAAGTAAAGTCAATGGAACAAATGAATAACAGAATAACAGACTTGGAGGTCTTCTAGTCCAAACCCCTGCTCAGGTCAGAAAACCCTGTATCATTTCAGACAAATAGTTGTCCAATCTTTTCTTAAAAACTTCCAGTGCTAGAACATCCACAACTTCTGGTGGCAAGTTGTTCCACTGATTAATTATTCTACATACAGCAGAGAGAGTGAATCTATAGTACGCCTGCATTTTCTGAGTTTGAATGTTAAACACTGAAGACCTCCAGAATCCCTCCCACCCTTATGATTCTATGTGTCCAGACAGGTCCACATGTGTCGAGATGTGATATCAGATTTGGCTGAAAAGCAGCTGATTTATCTGTCTTTCCCTGCTGGACTTCTCTGTCTGAGTTGATTGAAAACAATAGTTCCTTCTGCTTAAATTATTATGAAATTATTATAATAGGGGTCCCAAAATGTTTCTAGCATTTTTTTAGGAAAACAATAAGAATAAATTTCTCTCCCTATTGCGAAATAATATAGTATTGGTATTACAAAATATTAATAATATTAGTATTAGTGGGGCAAAATAATAGTGACAGTAATGATGATAAATACATTGGCCCCTCTTCAGAGGATACTGTTTGCCTTAAAACTGGGAAAAGAAATATTAATGGGGTTCAGTATTATGCTTCAAAACTAGAAGCTGGAAAAGCAGAAGAAAAGCTATCTTCAACTGCAAGGTGATACTTAAATGTTATGCTTAAAATGAAGTCGTCTACAACAGGAGTGACTGCCCTGTTCAACTTCTTTTGATGTGGCTTCAGAATTATCAGTATTAATTGCAATTTAGGATGCCAATATTACAAGCGTAAGATTATTTGAGTTTGCACCCAAAGGTGATTATAATATAAAAAAGAATCACTGCAATTCACATCAAAGTATTATTTATGTGATAATGGTTTCAGTTCTTGAACTAACAATTTAAGATCTCCATTGCATTGTTACTTGGTATGTGTAGGTGTGTGTGTTTACATATTGATAAAGGGAAATAAGAAATAGACAAAGCAAATTTAACAAAAATATGCAAAAAGTGGAAAAAATGAAGTAATAATAATAAAAGCTATCAATTTCTGACTCCACCTTTTTATACATTTCCTAATTTACAATATTTGTAAGCATTCATCCCCCCCCTCCCCAAAAGCCAGACTCTAAGTGGTTATATTTACCATTCCGTGTAATGTATTGTAGGTATGGGAACCATTCTTCCTTAAATTTAGTTAATATATTTGTAATCTTAAAGTGAGATTTTTGACATAATCTAAAAGTAAACTTGCAGAATCGATAATGCACTGTAATGCTATGTTTCTTTATGGTAGTTTCTCAACATTTAAACCAGGTTAACAATGGTGACCAATTTTTTTACAATGAAAAGGAGGACACAAATAAATTGAAGAAAAAATATCGTAAATAAAAGAAACATTTTATTCATTGCAACAATAATTACAGAATACACTATAATATGATAAATGCATAATAAAAACATTTGTAAAAATAACATTTTATATTGTAATTATGCTTACATGCCTATTAATTATTATTTAAATAAGTACTTTACCATTGAATGAATATTTTTTGTCAACGTATCATCTTCTAACAATATATTGGAAATATCTGAACAAGAAATATCCTTCATATTGAATTTTACGGCAAGTGCTACAGCTAGAGTATCAACATTCAATCTCGATTTCTCACTTTTCAAAAAATTATTAGCAGTTGAAAAATCCCTTTCAACTGCTGCATTAGTTCCAGGGCAGCATAACGTAAACTGAACAAGAATAAATAAATTTTCACATGGAATATGTTCATTTTTGAAATGGCTGAATATTTCCACCCATCTTTTATCAATTTCAACGTGTTTATTTTCCCACTGTGTTAATTTTACAGAATTTAAAAATACATTCAGTCTTCTAATTTCTTCAAAGAGACAATTGTCGTCTATTTTAATGTCTGGCATTTCTTTAGATAAAAACTCAACACAAGATTCAATATCTGTCAGTATACTTGCGATGAAGTCAAAAAACACCATTGAAAACTGTTATTTCCTGTGATGTTTGTTTCAGACCATTCTTCAATATATTGAAAACATTTGGTAACAATTCTGCAGTTCTTTGATAAACTTTTCCATTCTGCCCAGATTTGATTCCTCTAAGTCTGACAATTTTCTTTTTATAACTAAAGGAAGAAATTTTTCTTCAAATCGAGTTTTATATTGAAGGATAAAGTCATTCAAAATAAGACTAACTTCTGTAGCTGAAATGTGTTCACCTTCAATCTTTTGAATTGTTTTGTGAAAAATAGATGCTTGATTATGTACAAAATATATTAATATCTCAGATATTTCATTATTGAAAAACGATTCCAGGATTTTAGGACATTTGTCTAAACTTAAAAAATATGAACGGAGAGGCTCAAATAATTGTAGCACATGCTCTATAGCAGGTGTTAGAGCAAGCCATCTAATTTTTGAATATCCTAAAAGTTTTTTGTATTAAACATTTGCTTCTTCACAAAATTGTTTTAAAGTAGCCACATGAATGGTAAAATGATTAAAATACAAATAAATTGTAGTTATTATTACTTCTACATCAATTGGCATGGCACATGACGCCGTGTTGATTGCATTTGACAAAATATGTGCATTACAACCTATTCCTAGTATTTTCTTTTGGAGTAATACATATTATTCACCCCTTTGCATCTTTGCCCACCAAAATTTGTGTTTGTGTTATCAGCTGTTAGCGCAACAACTTTGGATTTCAGATTGTTTGACAAAATTTCAGCAGTTTCGCCCTCAATGGATTCTAAATTTAAAATTTTTACTTGAATGCCCTTGGTAACATTAAAATATCTTACTAGTATTGGATACAATTTAGTTTCATTATGATTGGATGCATCAGATAAAACTGTTACAAATGCTGCAGTTTCCAAGTCTTCTGTAAGTATTTTGTCACAGTAATTTTTAAATACTGATTTCATAATAGCCTCACATTTTGTCCTGGCGCATGAAAATTTAGCATCGTGAAACTTTTTCAATAATTTAGTTGTACAATCCATACTACGAAAACTTTGATTGTGAATTATGGTATGGTATGGAATGCAAATGTTCCCTCCATTGCAGCTAACTGTTTTTCATCTTCAGAATACTTTGAAGTTTTAAAAAAACTTGTTACTTTACAACTGGAAGCAGATGCATCTGATGATTGCTTATGTTTCTTGGTGGTCAAGTGTTTCGTAATAGCTGCTCTGCCTCCGACTGCAATACAAAATTCTCCGCTGCAAATATTGCAGAAAACAATGTTATCCTTCTTTGATGTGATGAATGGAAATTCCTTATTCAATTTACCGTAGAAATGGCATTTCCTCTTTTTTGATTTTTCCATACCTAAATGGAAGTTAGTCTCCTCCAGGTATCTTCGGGACTAACTAGGAGATGGTGTAGTTGGATAGCAGGGAGGGGGGCAAACTTCCTGCCAATTCGCCTTCGCTGCAGACAACTTGCATGTGCAAAATTTGCCGGCCGGGTGTTTTGGCACGCTCAGCAGCAATTCCTATTGGTTTTCGAAAGCCAATAGGGGAAGTAGCACAGTTCATGCAAAAGTTGAAAAAAAACCATCAAAAAAAGGTGCCGGAACGCCATTCTGAACGTTCTATGAGAAAAAAAAGGCCTGCATATTAGTCTTCAAATATTGAAAAGGAGGACATGTAGGAGGACACTTTTTGAGGGAGGACAGAACTTACAAAAGGAGGACTGTCCTCCCTAAAGGAGGATGGTTGGTCACCTTATACATACTATAACTCTTGTCTATTGTTCTTGGACTGCAGATCAAAACAATGGCTAGCATCATTCGATAAGCTTTTGTTCAAGAGTTTTTCAGATCTTTTGCTGATAATTAGTTTATTATCCTGGAAACAATGCCATTTTATTGTAAACCGCTTGTGAATATTTGAGCTTCGGTATAAACTACATAGCAAACCTTTAATAACCCATTTTCTCCCAGCAGTAACACTTTCCAATCCAGAGTACATGGAGTCTGAACTGTATTTGCTTTGGAGTTTGTATTATTATTTTTTACACGGAATGGAATTAGAAGGACCTTTCACAACTCAAATGATTCAGATAATGAAACAATCCTCTCTATTCTTTTAAAATCTATGTATTCAGAATTGTCCTCCTGGGCAAATATCTGATTTTTTTTTTCATGTGAGGGAGAGAAACCATCACGAACTAGTTACATAAATGAATCAGAGACTTAAATAGAGTTGATTGCCAATCCCGGGTTGCTCCCTCCCACCCCATGTTTGTGGAGCAGCAATTATTGTACATCAACACTCTTTGCAGTTGCCTCTTGTTCATTTTTAATTAGCACAGATACATGCTTCGCAAGGGGAGTTCTGTCTCCTTCAGAAACAACTTGTCAGTGAGGGAAACCAAACATTAGCGAGAGCTGAAAATAATGCTCGGGGTGAAATTCCACTTACTGTGGAAGTCCGAAGCTTTCAGAAGAGTTTATTCCACCAGCTCCGTTCGGTGCCTGACGTTTTGTGTGTGTGTGTTGTGTAAATTTTACATATTTAGATTACCCCATGCCAACGGTGGGATTCAGCCAGTTCACACCACTTTGGCAGAACCAGTAGCTAACTTTTTGTTGCCCAGGCCCAGAATGGACTTCTCGAAGTGGCATCCGCACAGAGAAATGGTTGTTCACATATTTGAATCCCACCACTG